TGCCCGTCGATGACCCACACAGTGCCGTAGGGAGAGACCCACCCAAAACCCACCTTGTGACACATTTACGTTCCCAGGCAAACCCCCCCCCCCCCACCCATGCAGCATTACCTCAGCTGTGAAGTGTCAGTGAACCCATTGGCATGAATTGTGTGTGCTGGCAGCTACCGTCGTCGATATTTTTTTCTGCATTTAATATTTTTTAACTTGCATTCTAAGCGAAGCAATGGACCAATCATTTTGGTAGGGGGACCGAATCAAAATAAAGTGAATTAAATAAGAGCGTCATAGAAGTATAATGCCCCTACCTTAAATCGAGTTTGGAATATAAAATAATCTGATTCAGAAATAAGGATTGCACCATATGAATAGCTATTATAAAATTCTAAAATTCATGTGTGACAGAGTAACCTCATTATAAAAAAGGACTCACCTGCTTAATGTCGTAGGCAAAAAGCACATATTTCATGTCTGGGGATATCGAGTATTTTGCGACTTTGAAAGCAACCTGAAAGATAAGGATACAAGACACTTATAATCTGCTGTATGACATTTATCTTTCAAAGATGTTCAAAAGAAAGAAAATAAAGCACTTAAAGTTTTCAGTTAGTTAAATTTACATTTAGCATAAGGGTATTTAGTTGAGAATAAATATAAATACATGAAGGACCGTTATATCTGGTGCGAGAACATCCCTCACACTTGATTTCACTTCTCTGCAAATATCAGAACACTAAAATCCACAGTATAGTGATGGGAAAATCCTTCAGTAAACAGATAAGGACACCAGGGATTTTTACCGTAATGCATTTTCGGTTCCATATCTTACTCATCATTAGTGTCTTATCCGCTAGCACCAAAAAAACTATTTCTGGTGTCAGATCCATAAACAGTTAGTCCATTAATGATCAGCCTATTATTATTAGCCTGTTAATGATCTGTTTATCATTATTATTATTATTATTATTATTATCCTGAATCGACATGATTCTGTTGCTTTGTTTAATGTTGTGCCCAATGCATCAATTTCCTTCCTGGATTCAATAAGGTATTTTTGTGATTCTGACTCTGAAGATCACAATACGCTACACAACGCTTACATTGTTTGTAGCCAATTTTTAAATGATTGTTCTTCATGGAATTCTTAACGATGCTCCCTGGCTCTGCAGCCTATGCAGCCAATCAGGACGTGGCTTGACTAGAGGGAGACCTCGGGGTTACGCTTATTTAACCTGCTGAGAGACATGAGAGCCTCTTAAGTGCAGCCCTAAGTGATTAATTCATCGGTGGCACACATTCAGCAGTCAGGGCCCTCGTCAACAACACCGCACCCAGGTGGGACACCTCTCTTCCTCTCTCCTCTGCTTACTTCATTTTCTGTTAATTCTTTTCTGGGTCTCTCTCTCTCGCTCTCTCTCTTGTCTTCTCCTTCTTTCCCCCCTTGTTCTCTCCTGACGCCATGTAACAGAGCTGTAAGTATCTTCTCGCACCCCATATTACAATAACCACATTATCACACGACTAGACCTCTGAAATTTCATGGGTGTGTATATACTTAATATGACTACGCGGTGTTTCATTTTCCAGGAAACACTGAATTCTAACGTTTGGTGATTTATACACTGGGATATATTAAGAACCCCAGCAGAGCACAGTGTGACAAGCAGGGAACGTCTTTAAAATCCACTCTGGGTTAATTAATAAGCTATTCCAGTAAAATTGTGTCTTGCTAACTGTCAGCTGCTCTGGCAAAGTCATTCGTTCATCTGACGTCTGTCATCATCTGTCCCAGGGTGATGTGTAGGACGCTTAGCCTGTCTGTGTTAGCTAAAATTTACGCAGATTTACTAAAATATACTTGAACCCTGAACATTGACCCATTCACTGTTGAGACATTTCATGAGTAACTTAGATAAAAAAAAAATAACTGAATTTTTGCCTTCCCCCATTGTTTTAATCAATTTAATACTAATAAGATTTTTTTGGATGGGGGGGGGGGCAAGCTTTTAGGTGACCGCTGCAACACTTTTTCTATATGGTTTTCAGCCTTCAAACATCATGTCACACTGAATTACGATGCATCTGTGCTGTCTGAGATAACTGAATAAAGAACTTAAGAAATTAATTTCAGAGAGTTTCACATGTGCTTATGCAACAAATGGTAGCGGAAATCCTTTCTGTCTAAGTGGCCAGGATTATCACAATGCGAAATCCCAAAGAGTTTGAGTGATTAGACCAAGTACATCCAAAAACATGTTGATTAACTTATCTGCCTGAAACACACCGGATTACCAACGATGAGTAAACGGCGGTCATGGCTGGGGCATCCAAACTGGAGGGTGGTGGGGGGGGGGTGTTTGTACACTACAAGAAACTTACAAATGTGCTGTTTCTCAGAAGAACATCAGTCTCATTTGTGGCCACGTTGAACTTCAAGACATCACCATCCCGGTTCCTGTACACGACCTCCGATTCTGCAGCATGAACAGAAAGCAGTCATATTGTCAAGAGATTTTCCAAAAAAAAATACTTAGGTGACACTGATCTGAATGGTGAACCATCAACCATCAGAGAAATATTTCAGAACATTCAGAAATTATCAGTGAGGCATTATCAAAAAGGCATTGGAGCGATTTAAACTGCATGTAGATTGCATATGTGCATTCATTTCCATTTTTACATCTTTGGAAAGGAGATCCCTCCACAGATTATACCAGTTTAATTTTATTTACCTGGCCTCGTGAGGTTTTTCATATGCACACAGAACAAAGATCTCACCCTTCTAAGCAAGCAATTTGTCCTGGCAGTCTAAAGGATGTCAGATTGTCTGGCAAACTTCCTGATTTTTCATCGTCACAGACTCAAAGCCTCCAGCATATACTGGAGGTTGCATTAGTAGTGATGGATATGTATGTTGTATTATTCAGAAGGGAGCCCGCTACTCCACTGCTGATCTCTATTTCTCTGTTTCTCGTGAAGGTAGATGGTGATGTAATCTAAAATGTTTTTAAAGAATGACAGATGTATATTTTGCTTGAGTAGGATGCACAGCGTAAGAGAGCGGAAATCAGTTTTTGTTATATGAGAGGTGGACATTCCGGATGTAAAAGCATGTTTTTATGTTTTGTTTGTATAATACTCCGTTCCCCCAGTGCATCCCTTTCCACTTTGAGTGTGAACGCTTTTCTTTGAAGTAATCGCCCCAAAAATGTGGCACCCTCTAATATAAAGGTCAGGAGAAAAGGTCAGCGGCATTATTCTGTTTTATCAGCAGCTGAAAAAGGGGTGGCCAGCTTCACCTGTGTCTATTTGAAGATAATGTGGAGGGAAGATGGCTTTTCATTACTCGCAGAAGGACGTTCGGCTGTGCATGCGGACACCCGGCGCCCTGCCTCTCCGACACCTGATAGCCATTAATTAACGAGGCCCTCGGCCTCGCGATAGCCCAGCGGGCCGCGGCGCCAGACTTAGGCTCCGTTTCGAGAAGCCACCGCAGGCTGCTCGTCCTTCTAGAAGATTCTGGCTCATTATTAGAAGGCCATTTTGCCCATAGTGAGTTGAGCTCATTTGTAGAAATCTAGTGTGGTTTAAGCCCTTTATATTGTTGAATGAACAGCATTAATTCATCCATCCGTTTATTAAATTAAGGTTTGCTAGCACACTTAAGTCCTATTAAAAAATTTTGGCCAAATTAAGTGCTAAATTCATCCATCCATCCAAGCAATTTCTGACCACTCATCCTGGTCGGGGTCTTCAGGGGCCAGGAGCAGATCCCAGCATGGGACGCTGTACTGGGCATGCCCTGAGCAGCATTCCTGTCCATCACAAAGCTTTAATGAGAAATGTCTTAATACAACTGATATAAAGAAATGTAATAATATACAACAGTGTCAAATATAATTGACTTACCATATATAATTCAAAAGTAAAAATCGCTTGTTAGACTTGTTTTTGGAGAATTTTGTCCAAGGCCACAATGCTGGTATTATTAAGTATTACTCCTGGAAACAGCAAAGCTCTCATGAGAGACTAGACCAAGCTATCACACCACTGCTTTCTGCTTACTGCCCTCATCTTCCATAAATTACATTCGAAAACAAGACACTGTCCTTATAATGATCTGTATGCTTCTCCTCCAGAAAGTGAGAGAGCCAACTGTGGAGAAAAATCAAAATCTCTGCACTAGTCAGTCAATGAGTGACCACTGAGGTGTTCATTCTGCACCTGGGTGCAGGTCTGGGAACCTCGGTCCAGATAGCAAAGCTCAGAATAGTGGGATTGGCGGGATTTCAGGCCAGAAGCCTATCTGGCTGAACCACACGGGGACTGTGTGGGCAGATTCATGGGAGCATTCATCAAATCCCACCGGGAATTAGAGCCCCTCGCTCTCCTAGCGACCTCCCTTATCTCCAGCGAGCCCCAGTCAACCTATTGCACTTGCTGCTGCACGCCAACAGCTCCCGCCATGCCGCAGTTTGCCGAAATCCAGCAGGATTTTCAAACTGATAGTTCTGTTCTGAAATACGAACTAGTTAAGTTCGAGTTACGAGTTAAGTTCTCCCCAAGCGAGCTCGATGGGCCGAATGGCCTCCTCTCGTTTGTATAGTTCTTATGTTCTTATGTTCTTATGTTCTTATGTTCTTAAATTTTACCAGGGAGGGACTTTTGTATTAGAACACAAAAACTGTTTTATGTATTATAAAAAATAACTACAACAAAAAATACATCCTTCTAATAATTAAATACATTCAAATGAAGTCACATTATGGAAAAGTTCATGTCAAACAATAAAATATGTAATGTAGAATGTTTAATATCTGTATTCATTAACCCAGTAACCCAAGTACTCTTCTTCATATCACATAAACCAAGCAGGCATCCTTCATCTCACATATAAACCAAGCAGGCATCCTTCATCTCACACATAAACCAAGCAGGCATCCTTCATCTCACATATAAACCAAGCAGGCATCCTTCATCTCGCATAAATCTGAGTTCTGGGTTATCCTTTCCGCAGCACGTTTTTTTTTTTTTCCTGATCCTTATGTTATGGGAAAGATGTTGCTTTGTGAATTCCGACATGTTGCAAAGTTGCAAATAAATGTTAGCGATAAAATTTCCAGCAGGGAGTATGTAAAGGCAAAGCACACTAACTAACCACGTTCTCAAATTGATTTTATTAATATTTAAAAACAGTTTCAATGGGATGCAACAGGCATGGAAAGGTAAATCCCAACGGAAAGCGAGCAGTATTCACAGCAGACCCACGCCCTTTGCTGTGTGCAGGCCAGCCTTTTAGAATCCTGACAGCATTGGATTTCGATAAATCCTGCCGTGTTTGATAAGAGGAAGTCTTTCTCTAAGTCAGTGCTCTCACAGGCTGCAGCATTCATTTTAAAAACATGCCCATAGACATCATCCAGCGCCCCCAGGCACCCCCGCCCCCAGACAATCACCTGTCTGCCAATCATCCCAGAGGTCACAAGCAGCAATGTAACAACCTCCCAGTACAACACTCCACCACCACCCCCCCCTGAGTATTGACCATATAGAGTCATCATTGTGACAGGCCTTTCCTCTTATGGCCCATCATTACTGATTTTCATATGAATAATTGAAATGTAATCCTTTCACATTTTTCATGGATGGATGGATGGATGGATGGATGGCTCTTTAAGCAGACCCACTCTGTAAAATCTAGTGACAAAGTCTCACACCCAGGGGAAGAGCTAGTTATATGTGACCCACACAGGTGCAAAGTGAAGGACAGTCCTAAGGGTGTAAAGTGTCAAATGAGTCAGAAAGGTGGGGTGTCATATTCTTAGCCTCTCTCACAGTTATGGTCCAGGTCAGGATTCCCGGGTCTATGTACATGCTGGTCATTTTTCCACCTGAGTGATTAAGTGCTTGGTGAAAAGTGGGTCACAGCACCCCCAAGAGAGGACAGCAGTTCCCACCGATGGATCTATAAATGACTTCCTCCTCGTTAGACTGAACCGCACTTTGAGCCACGTGACCAAGAAGTCCTCTCTGTCAATACACCTCATCGATGAGGCCAGAGCAGCTCTGACATGCTGACCGATGCCTCCGCTGCCACTCTTACGGCCCCTCTAGACGTCCAGCTGTCACTCCCGGCTGCCCAGGGCCAGTGAAAACCTCACCCCAGACTCCCGCAGTCACGTCTGACTGGTTTTTCACACACGCTTGGATAAAGTCAGGTCCTTCCTACACGAAGTACCAAGCACATATTTCCTGTGGCCTCTCCTTTAGCTGCCACACGATGTGTGTCGGGCATGCAAAATGCAACACATGGGTCATGTTGCAGGCAGAATTTTCCTGAACATTTTGCTCTTGCTGCGTAAAAACATTGCCCGAAATTTCCCATCTTGTTCCTCTTTTCCCATAACTGCTGAGCATTTGGGAACAGTCCTGGACACTGAAATATAACATTCCTGACAATCTTATAACAATATATATAATCTTTCCATCTTCCTTAACTGCTTATCCAGTCCAGGGTTACAGTGAGTCTAGAGCCAATCCCAGAATGCACAGGGCAGAAGTGAGTGTATATCCTCCATGGGGCTTTTTATTTCTTTTAAAAACCTCATGGGATTTTTTTAACAGAATATCACACAACTTAACCTTTAGATGGTTGGATATTGCAAAGGACACTTTCAGCTTAGGTGGGCAAAGATCCTGCAGGTGACCCTTTGCTGTTACACGAACACAGAGCTTTCAGGCCCGTGCCGCCCCGTCACTGTGACACCAGCCGGCTGCCATTTATGCACTGAGCTCTTCATTTTACTTAGTGACCTCCCGCCTGCTGCATATCGGAATGGACTAATAGATCACTTATATAACCACAATCTTTCAGCCTCCAGGTTCTTCTAAGTGACGCTTCATTTTCGGATTGACATCACATAATGGCCGGTGGAGCAGAATAATGTGACGGCTGCTGTCAAGGTCCCCGCCGGTTGGTTTACCGCGTTTATTGTGATACATATTGATTCCCTTTGAATGCGCTGAGGATTTCATCAGAACAGGAAAAGGCAGAGTGCTGAACACTTGGAGGAGCGAGAAGCCCCCCCCCCCCCCCAGGAATTGCTGAGCTGTCGAACGCCACACTTCTGTACCATCATACTTTTTAAGATTTACTTTTAGTGCAAAGCAAGGAAGCGATGTTGCTTTAAGCAACACGGAGTCGCAGCTAAGATGTGTCCCAGAAACAGCATCTCGCAGCATGTCACAGCCTTTTCGGGGAGTTCAGGACACCACTAGTTTGGTCAACCGTAATTGCCTTTTCATGAGGTGTGACATCACGCGCTGTTTTTCTTAATGAGCTTTTCAATTTTCGTGACATACTGCGGGAAGAGAAGGCAGCACTCAGGTAAGACCATCCGTACTGTGAAATATGACCTTCACTGGATCTTGTTTTGGAGATAATGTTATTTGGGCAGGAGGCAAAACCAGAGCA